GAGGTGTACCGCAAACCCACCCACACAGACCAGTATTTGCAGTTTGACTCCCATCACCCTTTGGAGCACAAGTTAGGAGTCATCAGGACTCTGTATCACAGAGCAGACAGCATCCCCACTAACTCGGGAGCCAGGCAGAAGGAGAAATCCTACACAAAACAGGCTCTAGAGCAATGTGGATATCCTAACTGGGCCTTCCTGAAAGCAGAGAAGAAACCCAAACAGGACTCCAGGCAGCCATCAGGTGAAAAGGAGGAACCCAGAACGGTGGTCATTCCATATGTTGAGGGAGTATCAGAGAAACTGAGACGTTTATTTTCTAAACATAACGTCCCAGTGGCTTTTAAACCCCAAAATACATTACGGCAAAGACTGGTTCATCCCAAAGATCCAGTCCTCCGGCACAAACAGAGTAATATTGTGTATGCTGTTCAGTGTCAGGAGGGCTCTGATCAGTCTTACATCGGGGAAACTAAACAGCCACTGGCCAAAAGGATGGTCCAGCACAGAAGATCAACATCATCAGGCCAGGATTCTGCGGTCTACACTCATCTCCAGGCCAGCGGTCACTCTTTCAAGGATGAAGATGTTCACATCCTGGACAGAGAGGAATGATGGTTTGAGAGAGGAGTAAAGGAGGCCATCTTTGTGAAAAGAAATCGTCCTTAATTAAACAGGGGTGGAGGCCTCCGGGTTCAACTGTCCCCCTCTTACAATGCTGTGATTGCTAGTATCACTCAGCCCTCTGTGAACAGTAAACAGCCATCAGTGTGCTAATGATCCATTGTTAGGCTGATGGTCCTTCTTGAGCATGTGATCAGCTGGTTTTGGTTGTCAGCAGCAAACTGGTTGATCCACTCTGAGAAGGTGCTATTTAAGAGACTGAGCTGAATACAGCACCTCAGACTGAGGAAGTCTCTTGGATGAGAGACGAAACGTTTCTAGATTTTTTTGCTTTGTGTTGTTTTTTTTGAATGTCCAGAGGACCAGATTGAACTTTTTTGGATACTCGCAGTAATGACTTCCTGTCAGCCGTGGAGCATCTGATGCTGCAGCCTGCATGCATGTGCAACAGCTTTTAGTACTAAGTGTTTATTTGTGCGCATTACAAGTAAAATTTTGCTCTTTATATCCAAACTAAAACAATTTTGTTGTACGAGATGAGAGGCAGGACTCCACAGCGACTCTGGCCGAGGAAGACGTGGTTTTTCTGGGGTGAGTTGAACTTGGTGGATTTTTAACCTCAGACAGTTTATCAAAGTTTAAAACAAAGGTCTAACAAAATGAGTAGCAGTTGCAATAGGTGTTGTGAATCACCCTCAGTGACTACAACACCAAACTTTAGCACAATAGCTGTAAAACTGATTGGGTTAACTCCAAATAGTTAAAAGCAAAATGCTAAATAAAGATGTCTCCAGTGTGTTTTTGCTCAGAATGTGTTAGCGACCAGTCTTAGCTACTACCACACCGAATATTTGCTCAGTATGTGCTAGACTGTTTGAAAATGACCCCGTTGTTGTGTGTTTATTTAAGGTGAAATAGCTGTGGCAACCATTTTCAACTGAGATTATTACTTTAAGGGTTAATCAGACGATTACATTCAGTTTCATTAAAACCTGTTCAGTGGTCAATAAGATATTTTGCTAACACAGACACATTAAAACACACAGGTAAACATCATCACTCGCCTTTTACCTGTTGGTGGCGGCCATCTTAATTCTATGAAAGTAGATGGTTAGTCCAAAATGGGCAAAGACCCATTACTGCTGTCTTAAGAGTCAGAGTCAGAGTTTCTTTATTGTCATTCGCACCTCATGTGGTACATGTGGTGGAGCGAAATTATGTACACGGGGTCCCAGTTACATCCAACAATAAAATGTCTAAGAAAAACAGTAATAACATCTAAGATATGAACTAAGAAAAACACCAACTAAATATACACTAAGCACTCATAACATAAAACATTGAACATCAGCACAAACATGAACATGAGTCTGTGAGCAGATGTGCACGCATGAACACATCAACATTGAAACAGATCAGCAGCAACATGAAACAGATCAGCAGCAACATGATATGGTTTTTCACAGTGATTATTCTGGTTAGAGATTCATGAGTCTAACAGCCTCAGGGTAGAAGCTGTTCCTCAGTCTAGTGGTTCTACACTTAATGCTCCTTAACCTCCTTCCTGAGGGGAGTGGGGCAAAAAGTGTGTGTGCTGGGTGGGTGGGGTCCTTCATGATGCAGGTGGCCCTCTTCCTGCATCTGGAGGTGTAGATGTCTGTGATGGTGGGAAGACCGATCCCGACAGATTTCTGTGCAGCCTTCACCACTCTCTGCAAAGCTTTTCTTTCTGCAGCTGTGCAGCCTCCATGCCACACATTGATGCTCGAGCACAGGATGCTCTCCACTGCACACCTGTAGAAGGAGGTGAGGACTGAGCTTCCCAGACCAGCTCGCCTCAGCCGTCTGAGGAAGTAGAGTCTCTGATGAGCTTTCTTGATCAAGCTGGTGGTGTTGTTGCTCCAGCTGAGGTTGTCATTCATGTGTACACCCAAGTACTTGTAGCTGGAGACCACTTCCACCGCAGATCCTCTTATGTTCAGGGAGGTGTAGATGTTTTTGTTCCTTCTGAAGTCCACAATCATCTCCTTTGTCTTCTTCACATTGATGTGAAGGTTATTCTCTCTGCACCAGCTCTCCAGGTGTTCCACCTCTTGCCTGTAGCTGGACTCATCATTGTTTGTGATACATCCCACCACCGCTGTATCATCTGCAAACTT